AGAATCCGGCTCAGGAGAGTGACAGGACTCATAACGGGACACTGTCACTTTAGGAAACATCTACATAAGCTAAAGCTTGTAGACAGTCCGGTCTGCCGAGGATGTGAATCGGCGGATGAAACTTCTCTGCATATCCTGGGCGAGTGCCCGGGATTTGCACGTAGCAGAATGGCGCTCCTTGGGAGACCCTATTTGGAACCCAAGGAACTGAGAGAAGTGTCAGCAAGGAAGCTTTTGGACTTTGTAAAAAGGACAAATCTACTTGCTGAATAGGACTAGTAGTGAAACGCACAATAGGCCTAATTAGGCCGCAGTGCTATGGGACTTTTAAAGGACCAACCACTAGAAGATGAAGATGGAAGATGAAGGCCAAACCCTATATCGACGCATTTCCCTTCAAAAGGGCTATCCATTTATGCTTAAAAAATTAGGTAGTGCTATTTAAAAAAAATGTCGATGACGTCATAGTTTTATGAAACATAGCGCAAAAAAGATTTAACCTACGTGACAAAACGACAATTCCTATTTACTAATTGACGTGTTTTAGCGTTTTTGTGAAAACTCAACACAAAATAAAATACGAATTTTTTGCGTTACTTCTGGGATGCACTGTATAGGTATACAGAATGAAAAAAGAAGTGGACCCAGGTGAAAACCTTGCGGTACACCAAACTCGGTAGTATGGTATGTATGTAGACGATAAAGGTGTACTATGATGCATCCTTGAACAAATGACAATTCATCTTTAAATATCTTATCTTGAATACAGAATGAATCGATATAGGACGATAGTTACAAACATTTTTTTTATCTCTACTCTTATATATCTACACTACTTGGGCCTGTTTCCAAATATTTGGAAATGTGCCTTCTGAAATTGATTTATTATTGTATAAAATAAAATATGAAATATCACCTTTACCTGACTTTTATAAATATACCTACGGAGGCTAGTCTCCCTGAATATACGATAAAATACGTTAAAATAAACAAAAAAAACCTTATATGATGTGGGTCCTAAACTCAACCATTTCCGAGAAAAAAAATTATCAAAATCGCCAACTTGATGTACAAAAGTTCGATTAATTAAGGAATATTGACATAACTACGTGCATAGGATACCATAAAATACAATGTTTATCACTTTCTTGAACGTCTTTATGATTAATTCTAAAAAATAATAAGCATTGTAATAAATTTTAAATTCGATAAAATTCATATAGAGCAATGTGACAAGAGTGCGGCGGTTTATTAACAAGAGGTACTAAGGTGTTCAGAACCACCAATACGCAATTCAGTTAGTATCTGGATTCAACCATGTCGGAGTGTTTTTTTGCATACCACTATTTCCTTTTCTTAAAGTGTTTTCCGCGAATTCGCGAAAATTGGATTCGAAGGTGTCGTGCGTGCATCGAAAATGGTGGTGGATATTATGTGGCTGTGGTTTGAGCATATGTTGTAGTCTATTTTGTACTTGTCCGTTTAAAATTACTGAATTTTGCTTTTTGGTAAGTACCTAAATTATTTTTAATACGTAATTATTTGGATGACGGGAAACTTTGGGTTCTTTAATTACATATTTTCCAGATACATAATTTGATTAAAAGTTATGTTACTGTTTTAATAGATTCATAATTACTAAAATTTAAGCACAACACTATCTTCGTACTACAAAATCCATATATTCTATTTTATTTATTTAAAAACTGGAAAACAATTGTCTTGAAATTTACTACATGTTTTACAATAATAGCTGTTTACATTTTTTCCGTAGGACAAGTCTGCCGCGTGTACACGTGGTGTTCATTAACAGGTTAAGCGCTGTTGTCACGTTGTGGTGAAACTCCCCAATATTAATACTCGCTGTATTTTGAAAACTGTTAATCTTACGCCCCTGTAGGTATTATACAACTTTTTTGTTCATTTATGATTATCCTATCTCATGCTGAACTCAAACTTCTTAGACCCTGAATCCTTCAAACGCCTTGATTAAAAATAATAGCCCGGCAACATGCTTCCAGCAATCTCTATGACAAAATTATCCCGATATTATCAAAGCTTCTGGTATATTATAGGTGGAAAAAATACAAAGTGTTGTAGTTCCCCAAAATGCACCCTAATATAACACTCGCCTGTTCTATGCTCTCCCTCACGGAGATCTCATGGAAACAAACACAACCGATTTCCTTACTCCTCTTCTGCCCCTCCTCCAAGGACACCATCCGGTCCTCAGCCAAGTCGATCTTGTTCCCCACTAGGACTACAGGCACGTCGCCACAGCCGTCTTTCCCGCTGCTGCCCAACCGCCGCCGTCGCTTGTTGTAGTTTATGAGGAATTTCAGCCTGTAGCACTCGTCGAAGGAACATTTGTCCGTGACAGAGTACATGAGGATGAAGGCTTCCGCCCACCGGATATTGGCCTCTAGACCCAAGCATTCGCTTTCCTGAAATACAAAGTTATTAGAGTGTAAAAGTCTTAATCGCTTGGAGTTTTTCTGAAAAATTTGAAGTGAGATCTAATCGCTACGTCTAATCCTTGCATCTACTCGCTACATCTAATAGCTACGTCTAATCGCTACAGGTAATCGCTATGTCTTATCCTTACATCTAATCGCTACATCTAATAGCTACGTCTAATTGCTACAGCTAATCGCTACGTCTAATCACTACGTCTAATCGCGCCACTTGCTCAAGTTGGTTTTCGCTGTCAGTTGCTGCAGTCTTAGTGTCTAAAAATCGAATTGCTTCAAAGAAAATGGCTAAAAACAAAAGAAATGGTTTGCGATTTTCCTTAGAAGTGGATGGAATGTTTATAAATGAAATAGAAAGGCATCTGTGTTGAGAATTTGAAGGGTGTGTATTGGAAGAAACAGAATGACGATTTTTCCTAAAATTATTCCTAAAAGCTCTATAATCCTCCAGAGATTGCACGTGAACCCGTAGTTCTTGATCAATTACGCAAGAGCCATTGAAGATATAAGCTTCAGAGGTATGGAGAAGTTACATGTAAAAGAAATCTAGCCAGTGGTGTTGGAGTTTGGAGATGTATGGGGTCATGAATTGTAAAAAAAATAATATTTATAACAGATGCAATCATAACTTTTGTAGGAATATTCTCGGGGAATATACGGATTACGATTAAAAATCCAAAATAAAGACAATATATTAGGAACATTGTTAGCTACACAACATAAATGAAAATGAATATAATTTGCATAAGTTCCCGCTTATTTTAACAATAAAGTTAAGGAGTGTTGACTTTTATAACAACATTGTAAAGGCAATAGGGATTTTGTTTCAGTTTTTGGACATTTTAATTAATGTTACAAAAAATGTTTCTTTGAATACAAATCTCTGCTTGTCTGCAGGTATTATTAAAATTATTCTAATCTATTTCGCGAAATTCAATCCAATGGAGTTACATATCCCGATGTTCCATGATATGGAACTACCTCAGATCCTTAGGGTCAAAGCAAAGCGATTTAATTAAACTTACTTCAATCCAAAGTTGCTTCGTTTGGCCGCTAGAGGGCATCAAGATTCAAAAGATCTGTGTTTTTTCAGATAGATAAGTACTCTAAAACGCTTCGTCCGAATTAAATAAAATTTGGTAAACTAATACTTGTGTATAGTTGTCATTTTTTGATAGGTACCTAACTGTTTTAACAGAAATGGGAAAATATTCTCATTTCTGAGCAAATATGTTTCAGTTTCAGTTCTTATTTATCTTATATTTTACAACTTTCTTTTCTTTTGCAAATTTTTTGTATTTCTAATAATTTTCGCGTATTTATTACATTTTTATACGAATCAGATTTAATTGTCATGAAAAATCTAATTTGATAATAAAAATGAAATAAAGCTTTGTGGAGTTTAGAAACTTGTAATGAAATATTAATTTACGAAAATTGTTAATTAGATTTTTAGTAATATAATGCTGTTGAAAAAAAAAGAGAATTTTCGCAATTATCTCGAATTTTTCCCAATCTGTAAAGTGTGACTTTATCAAATTTTAATCTTTGTTGTTATTGTTATATAAAAGACATTCAATTTGTTTAATTAACTGAGAAACTACTGTTCACAGTTTGCAGAATGAAGAAAAACTCAAATTAGTGCAAATATTTTTTTTACTGTATTGTGCGTTAATGTGAACTTTACAAGGCAATATTTCTTTTCATTATTAACTGAATCAGATTTTGCTGGAGAATAAAATTAGATTTTTATCAAAAATGTGTCGGTTATGATTAAAGAAATAATTAATTACGCGGAAACAGTTAAAAAAACAAACAATTTACAAGAGACAAGATACTTGAAAGAGACCCTATCTTTATGGAAAAAACTGTACTTGTAAGGTCGCCAGAAAAGAATATATATGGACATATTTGCTTAGGACAACTACTTCAGTTATTATATCAGAAATGCACAGATATTATTTTATTTAAATAGGACGACGCTATTTGGAAAAAAAATAAAAAAATATTGACGCTCTCTAACGACTGAACAGAGCAACTTCGGATAAAGGAAATTTTAGCCTAACTTTCTTACTTTCACCTCGAAAAATTTATAGGCGTTTCGAGTATACGAAATATTCAGACAACGTGTATTACGTCTTTAACCAGAGTACACCCTGATTAAAGTAAATATCTAACATGTTGAAAGTTATCGACTGAAAATATCCCAACAAAGCCACATTAAAATCTGTTATTAAAAAAAATTCTTGAGACTGGAAGTTTTCCTTTCCAGATTCCTTAATGTATATTCTACATCGGGGTAGTTATTAGAAATTCCAAATACGACTTCTGGAGCCTGTGGAATGCAATATCGATGAGTACTCACATCTGGCTGTCCGGCCGTATCCAATATATCGAAACAGACCATCTCGTTGTCGATGACGGTGTGGAAAGTGTAGATTTTCTCCAGAGTCGGATCGTAGTCGCCGATGTACCTCCTTGTTATGAACCGCACTACCATAGCTGCGCAAAAAGCAAAAAGATTAAAGAGAGACATTAAACGGGGGTAGTCAATAAAATAACAATAAAGTGCGCTTATGAAAATATTTAGATACTACCTTAATGGGTCGTAAATCCAAGAACGGACTAAGGTTAACAATGCTATTCGAAGTACACCGCGGATACGATACACAGTTCAAATATAACTATACAAGGTGTTACAAAAATACGCCAAGTAAAACTTAAATAGTAGATACTACATAGATGCAGGGTGTTAAAAAATACTGCCTATTTTACATTTTAAAAGGCAATCGACGGAAGTTATGCTTTGCATAAATACTAGGCACAGAAATTAAGGGATATTAAAAAAAATCACAAAATTTTGGGTGATTTTCAAAGAGCTGTAACTTGGAAGGTCGTAGAGAGAATAAAAAAAAGGAAATTGAAGCTTCACGTGTCTAGTTTTCAGATCTGCAGTTTAAAATTTTTTTGCGTCAGTAATTTTTGACTAATCATAAGAAAATCAACGGAAAAAAAGATTTTTGCTTTTTTTAAAAAGGCCTATGGACTTTTTTGGTAATTTCATCATAAAACTCTTTTAGACAATTTAATTCTCTTCAATTTGAGCGGTTCCGGAGCCTTATACGATTATTTGTCACTGAGTTATCGTTTTCATTTTTGACTGGCAATCAATTACTCGAGAAATAATGGTCGTACAGAAAACCCAAGCAGAGTTTTGAAAATTGCAAAGTATTCTCTACAAGTCGTACTAATGGGATTTTGATAAAAAAAAAATTTTCAAAGTGAAAATGTTGATTAGAAAAAAGGTAAAAAATTGCATAATTAGAGCTATTTGAATAATTTGGCATAACTTTGCAAATAATGAATAAACTAAGGATACCGACAGTAACTTTTCAACCTCAAAGTGTCCTAAAGAAACCCTGATAATTTCAAAACGTTGCGATTTTTTTTCCTAGTGCCCGGAATGTTTAAATTTGTCGTTTTGCTGAAAATCAATATAATAAGTAATTTTTCACTTTTTATTCATTTTTAAGCTAAAAATCCATATTTTCTTCATCAAAAACATTCATGATTCTAGAAAAGAATGAAAAAAAAATTTTTTTTATCAAAAACCTATTATTGCGACTTGTAGAGAATACTCGGCGACAAATAATCGTAGAAGGCTCCGGAACCGCTCAAATTGAAGAGAATTGAATTATCTAAAAGAGCTTTATGATCAAATTATCAAAAAAATTTTTTGTCCATAGAAAAAGCAAAAATTTACAATTTTTTTTCCGTTGATTTTCTTATGATTACTCAAAAACTGCTGACGCTAAAAAGTTTTAAACTGCAGTTCTGAAAACTAGACACTTGAAGCTTCCATTTCCTTTTTTTTTATTCTCTCTACGACCATTTCCCTTCAAGTTACAGCTCTTTGAAAATCACCCAAAATTTTGGGATTTTTTTTAATATCCCTTAATTTTGTGCCTAGTGTATTTACTTGGCCATACGAAAACTACTATCTCCAAAACAAAAATTAATATCTTTAGATTAATTATAGTAAAAGTAATGTATTGTTTTTTGTATTTTTTGTGGGGGGGGGGGGCGGAGTACAGCGTTATTTAAATGGAAAAGAACAAATACTGCCAAGTAATTGTGAGGTTATGTAATTCGAGAACTGTAATCGATTATTCCCTAAGTCTAGTATCTGATACCTATGTATCTAGGATTACTATTAGTCAGAACATTCTATTTCTCCTTATACATTTAACCTATCTATTTAGAAAAAAAAATGGGTAATCTACGGCTGTCTGAACTGAGCCGCGAGACATAGGCGTACGCGTTATTTTTTAAAAAGCAACAAATTAAATTGTTTACAATACACCACCATAAACACCAACGGATAAAAATTGATTATGTAACATCCGCACGATAACAAAGCAACAGTATACCAACGTGACATACACGTGAAAAGCATTCTGAGGCAACGGCTCACGCATGTCTCGGTTGACCCGCTTGGCACTCCATTGAATTGCGGCTCTCTCTGACAGCCTTACTAATGACGAGAGTTTTAGTAATTTTTTTGCGATTTTAAAGTAATAGGTATATAAAAAACAATTGATTGGCTGATATCTTCAAACCGCAACAAACAATCGTTTGTATATATTTCTTTAATATTGCAAGCAAATTTCCCATAACTCTTTACCATTTTTTACCTAGACTGAAAGGTAAAAACGATAGGGAGGGCGGGTCGAATATTATGAGTGAGAGTGGCACAGAACATTATTGCTTCTGGAATGTTCCAATATTTTAAGAATATTTTATTTTTTCTCTAGTATATTCCTTGATATCTAGGGTGTATTTAAATGAAGGAGGATAAATGTTATATGAGAATCTTGTGCCTGAAATATAATAGTTGGACGTAAATTAATAAAGTAAAGGCAATATTTTGTGAATTTATTTATAATTATATCATTTTAGTGGCAAAGTTACCGCGAAAAAACCGTCATTTTGGAAATGCGATAAATTTATTTTATTCGACTAAAATAAAATGTTTCTAGAACTATCCATTTTACAAAAAAAAAATTAAGAACTTTTTAATACAATTTTTGTCAGTAAAATTCAGTGACGTAGAAATTTGCTTCTTGCGCAAAATTGAAAATTCCTTCGCTGTTTTTTTTTTATTGCCAATGACGATGATGTTTTATTAAAACTATGTTACTTTTACGCACTCTTTTTAAAATAATGACATTTCGAAATTAAAATGGCAACTATGATGTTGAAGGGAAAATGTGCGTGTTTCTATTTCAGATCTGTTACAAATAATTTCGGTACGCACACAAAAGGCGAAGCACGTGGCGACATTCTGCTGGTAAACAATGTGGAAGTTATTACCATATTTTGGGCCTCTGAAGAGTTGCAGGGGCTGAATGATGTTTAAATATGAACTTTAGCTTTACGAGGACAAAAACAAATACCAACTACGATGTTCACAGACTGAAAAGTCACGCACGTGCATGCATGTGGCCATGACATATAAAACTGACTTTTATGTCAATAAAAGCGATTTTACGATATCTACGACTGTAAGTGGGAGATTAAAATTAAAGCAGCCCTTATACTTTTTTAACTGTTTCTTTTAAAATTTGCATTTTACATGTTGTCACAGAATTATTTCCAATTATTTTTTTATACGAAAAAAAACAAGAATTAACACTCAAGCAATCAAGTAGATTTTTGATTTAGTCAAAGTATAGGTATTCAATGTTAAAATTTAATCCCTGACATAAACTTCTTCAATTTCTTGATAGAAAGGAAAATTTGTGACCAAAAAAAAATATGAGCGCTTGAGAATTAGAACAGAAAGTAGCAAAAGCAGGAAAAAAGCTGTTGAAGAGAAGATTGTGGAGTCAGAACCTCCGCACACCGTTCGAGGGCAACCACTAATTGACATAAAGAGTACATTGCACAAAGCATGCACTGCTCTTTTTTGAAAAGAACTTTTGCGCATTTTATATTCTCTACAAATTGTGATCACGAAGTGATTCGCGTGGAAAAGTTTAAATATGACTTAGTAACATGCATAAGTAGCATACTACTATGCTGCACTTCTGTTGATACAAATGTTTCTTATAAGACAAGGGTTTAAAGCGATTGCATTTATGAAAGTAGGTATAATACAATTAGATATATGTAGTATTATACTGTGATACGATGTTATTGCAGCCAAAACATTCTAAAAAATATACTGAAATTATTAAGATGTTAATTTTAAAATGAAAAATGATATTAAAAATGACATTTTCATACCCCCTGTCATGAAAAATATAAATTTTTCATTGTTTATATTCTGCGGCATTTTTTACTTCTTGTATTGACTTTATAAAAAAAAATGATTTCAAAAAACGTACTTCATATGAAAATTTCCCATTTTATTTTGTTATTCCAAATTGAATTACACAAATAAACACAAGTTGAATGTAATCCATTTCAAATGACTAAGTTATGTATCGAAACATTCATAGTATATTGCGTTGTTGCCGTTACTCCTTTGTGTTTATTACTTGGCGGACGACAAGTCAGAACTTTTTATGTTTAATAATTTATTTCTCTGTGAGATGTGCGGTAACCTACTTTTGTTCTTTCTCTCATCTATTTTTCTACATTTTTTCGTAGCACTCGATCCTCCTTAAAACAGCTCCAAGCACACGTTGAAAATATGTCCATCCTACGCGCAAAAATGGATTGAGCTTGTCCATAGAGAAGTGCTTTTGCTCTTGCTTCTATATTTTTTGCCACAAATTGATTGTACATTTTAAAAACATTTAAAATTATTTAAAAAGTCAGTCGCGTACTATTTTTTTTAAGGGTCACCTACTCCCCCAATAACTACGCCACTGGAGTGTATTTTGGAATAAGTTATCCATGAAAAAATAGTCCCTAGTAAGAAAATGTCATCCCCCAAATTTTATCACTAAATATTTTTTTCCAGTGAAGTTACACGGAAAATCATTTAAATATTTGAAACATTTAACACCCTGTATCTCCATAAGGAAGCGTCCTATCAAAAAATTTTATAGAGCAAATGTTGATTATTTTCATCGGTAAAATACGCCATTAAAGTTTGGTAAAACTTATCATTAACACGCTGTATAGTATAGTAGTAGTATGTATAGTGGAACAGTTATTTGTTATTCCTCAAAAACTAGGTACCTTAGTTTTTACAAAGAAGTTTTAGAACAGCTCATTTTTATAAGTTTTTAATTTTTGCGAAACGTTTGCATAACAATTTTTGATTACATACAACTCTTAATCCAATTTATGAGATGTTTCAAGTATTTTTTTTTTATAAAAATAGTGAAACCAGAATAACCCACTCAAAAAGATTATTTATAGATATGTGGTCTAATTATATATACTCCAGGAATACGTTCCTTATGTTATAATATATTACACTGCATTTCACCGGTGAAAAAATTATTCTGCCCGTTCATCATAACAAATTGGAAATAGGTAATTACATTTTAACGCAAACACATCAATTTCTATTTGAAAAGCGACGCAGTAACCCATTTGAAGTCATAAAGCGAACGATTTACCTGTCAATGGTGTTGCTCGTAAAAACAATTTAGTCTTACCACTCAAGAAACTCCACCAACAACTGACGGTTTTATTTGCCGCGATATCATTTTTTATCGTGAGTTTATAAGAATTTAAAAGTACATTCTTATTTTCTGATAAAATTGATGCCAATGGAAATAGAAATGCATTTCTCTAATATTAAACAGAAATATTTACCGCTTTATTTTTATGTTTCATGTTTACTGTCGCGTAAAGTTGTATGTAACCAAGGACTCTCTTCAGTTTATGTCAAACATTACGTGTATCAATTAATATTTTAAATATTCTCCCTTCATTACACTTGCGTAAAGACACCAGTTACATTACGTACACCTTCAATTTAATAAAAATCCTTAAAAGTCGCTAGGACTAAAATCTGTTGATTTTGAAGGCCGATGATGAGTGGCTATATTTTTATATATTGCCATACATTGCATTTTGCAACTACGTTCCTAATACGACCTTCAGAAGAAAGGATCCAAGCCAATCTTAGAAATATCACCATTATATGTCTCCATAGGGGGACTACTTTACAAGCAAAGGTATGTAGAACTTCTCCACAGGAAGAGTACAGTTCTAAAGGCTGTCCGCAGGATTTGAATTGGGCGCCATTTTCATTCTGAAGAGATGGCAGTATTGTGCAGGGTCATATGTTGTAGTAAGCGCATTGCGATTAGACAAAATGGAGCGCTATATGATGGATGAGCGAGTGAACAAGTCCGGAGAGTGTGTAGCTGAGATTGTGTGCAAATTACGTGGAATTTTCAGTAAAAGGAACGCCCCGAATAAAACAACTGTGATACCTTCTTTAACTTTGTAAACAATAATACACTGTACCGATGAGACTGAAATAATTAGAAACATAAACAATGGTAACTACAACTTCTAAAGCCATTTATCGGGTTAGTTTATTACAATTTTACGCTATAGATATATTTATATTTATAACACTACAAATATTTATTTAGAAAAGTAATTAATACTTTTTATGCATAACATATGTCACGTATGCAAGTATATGTAAGTATTTTTTTATTAGTTGCTGTCTATTAATATTCTATATTATCTAACTATTTAAAAAATGCCACGATATTTTTATTAAAATCACGTCAAGTTATAAAATCAGATGTCTTTGATTTAACATTTGTTGTAAAAACTTTTTTGTGTTTAGTTATTAAGGATAAATAGTTATTCCTGAATCAGTTACTTGAGATCTCATCTAATCTCAACTATTTTGAATGCTGATTATTCAATTAAGTGATATTAACTGATATCTTTGAGTAAATTAAACTTCAATAAGAGAGCCATCTGTTAACAGGTTCATGAACTCAAAAACACAGTTACCTGCAAGAGAAATAGATTTTGATTTTGCTTGGCAAGATTTTGTGACGCTTCGTCTCAGTGAGGAGGTGAGCGCATAAACACAGCTGCACTGAGCGACAGGCCATAAATTTCATTTGTTGACAAATCGCCTAGCAGTGCAGTGCAGCAATGCGGAATTATTTTACTGTTTATTATTTTTATTTAATAACTTTTCTAACCTAAACTAACAACTTTTCCTCATCCTTTCCTGACAAGGATATGTTGATATCTTCCCGTTGGTTCGAGCAGTAATATATTTTAATGAAAATGTAAATGTTTTTTGATGTCATAACCAAAATGTACCATTAATATAATAAAATTGTTTGAAGACATAAATTATTAAAATATGTTGGTGGCCAAATGAACATGTAATAGAAATTTTCTACACATTATATACAAATTATTATTATTTTTTACCTTTGGCAGAAAACTTTTTTATGAAACTCATTAAATTTTATTGCTAGGAGTTTTTATACAAGTTCAACTGACTTCGGAAAGACTATACTATGTAATATGTTTTACTTAAAGTACCTAGCTAGAAATTATATACAGGGTGTTAAGTATGTACAATAGATTCAACAAACAATTATTTGATTTTAAGACAGAAAGTTCATATAAACATTGGTCCGCAGATGCTTCGTTTTCAAGATACAGGGTGTTAAACTTTTTTAAAAAAATTGCTATTTCGTAAATATCTTAAATACCCTTTACCCAATTTGGTTGTAATTTAGCAGTGTTACTTGTAGTGTTAAGGGGCTAATTTAACTCTAACTTGATTAGATTTGTTAAGTCCAGTGGCGTCACGAGCGGTACCTTGACGAATATTTTTGAGAAAAAAACTGTACGCCACTGATTTTTTGTAATTGATTGTACATACTTAATTAACACCCTGTATAGTTCATTGCAATCAAATAAAATTAATTAAAATTATATTTCTTTATCCAATTGAGCCGACGCCGACGGTGAGTCCTTACCTGACTTTCCTACCCCACTTTGGCCTAACACCATCACCTTCAGCGCTTTTGGTCGTGGATAAAGTCCTAATTTAACCAGAGAAGCTTTTGGAGACACAGCATTCATGATCAGTCAGCTAGAAACAAATAAGAAACTTTCTAAATATGATTGGACACTGATACAATGGATTTTAGTAATAATAGGTATAAGGAGATGAATAAAATACATCGCAGGGGGTACATAAAATTTGTTTAACAATTTTTTTCACAAGCACTAAACAAGTTACAATATTGAAATTAACCTGACATTTTCTACTACCAAAAAGACACTTAGCCAGTAATTTATTTGGTTTACCCCATGGTTGTAAGGGGTGGAAAACGCAACCCCTAAAATTTATTTCCAACGTAATTTTTTGTCTTATTATTTTTTTACCATTTAAAAATTTATTTCCGATAGCCTGTTTCATTCTAAAAAAAAATGTCTCTTGAATTTTTTGCCCAAATTAAACCAGTTCGCAGCAAAAAATTATTTTACGAACAAGATACATATCGCCATAAAACGAAAATACGAAACTAATTTATCTAGTAGGCCGCCATTAGCGATACTGACAATTAAATTGGAATCAAGCTGTCAGTTTGTAAATTTTTGAAATTGAAGTAATACTAATTGTGTATTGTTCTGTTCTTAATTTGTTACTTTAATAATTCACTTGTTATTAAAATGGCATACACAAATGAGGAAATGGCTGATATGCATTACGTTTACGGTCTGTCGCAGGGGAATGGGTTAGAAGCTTCTACAAGATATGCTGAAATGTATCCTCAACGGCAGCATCCTTCACATAGAATATTTGTCTGACTTCATCAACGATTACGTGAATATGGTTCATTCAACAAAAGAACGCAGGATTGTGGTCGCCATCGAGAAGTAAGAACACCACAGCTTGAGGCAGCAGTACTTAATTTGATAGAAGAACAACCTACTACCAGTACTAGAAAGATTGCTTTCCAGCTAAATGTTGATCATATGACGGTATTTCGAATTTTAAAGGAACATCTCTTATACCCTTACCATCTGCAACGAGTACAGGCACTGTTACCGCGAGACTTTCCGAACCGTCTTGAATTTTGCAATTGGATGCTGGAAATGATTAGAAGAAATCGTGACTTTCTGAAGACGATCGAATTCACAGACGAATGTAGTTTTTCTCGGGACAAGATTATTAATTTTCATAATTACCACATATGGGCTGATGAAAACCCTCACGCTATTGTCGAAACTAACCATCAAGAACAGTTTTCTCTTAACGTGTGGGTCGGAGTTATTGGGGATTATTTAATTGGGCCTCATTTTCTACCTCCTCGATTAAATGGTGAGGCATACGTTCAATTTTTAAGAGAAGTGCATCCCGTACTGCTGGAGGAAGTTCCTTTGGGCGTCAGAAGGGATATGGTTTTTATGCATGATGGGGCTCCCGCCCATTTTAGTCAAGTAGCACGTCAGCATTTAACTGAAACATATGCAAATCAGTGGATAGGTCGAGGAGGACCACAGAATTGGCCCGCTCGATCCCCGGATCTCAATCCTCTGGATTTGTCTACTTGGGGCCATTTGCAGCATTTGGTTTATCGTACTCCTGTTCGCGATGTAGAGGACTTAAGAAACCGCATTATCGATGCGTGCAGGGTAATTAGAGAGACTCCAGGAATATTTGAGCGAATACGTGGCTCAATGCGCCGACGTCTAGACGCATGCGTAATGTCTGAAGGTAGACATATTGAACATTTACTATGATTTCTACATGTTGTATGTTTTGTTATTATTAAATTAGTTTTGATTATTCCCCTTTAATCATTTAATGCAGGTAGTAACTACAAAATAACAGTAAATCCAGTCCGCATTTATGACGATGTATCTCTGTAGTTGTTCGTAAAATAATTTTTTACTGCGAACTGGTTTAATTTGGGCAAAAAATTCAAGAGACATTTTTTTTTAGAATGAAACAGGCTATCGGAAATAATTTTTTAAATGGTAAAAAAATAATAAGACAAAAAATTACGTTGGAAATAAATTTTAGGGGTTGCGTTTTCCACCCCTTACTACCATGGGGTAAACCAAATAAATTACTGGCTAAGTGTCTTTTTGGTAGTAGAAAATGTCAGGTTAATTTCAATATTGTAACTTGTTTAGTGCTTGTGAAAAAAATTGTTAAACAAATTTTATGTACCCCCTTTAAGGGGCTGTATCTTAACAAGGGATGCTCCAATGAAGTTTCTTTATATGAAAGATCCTATCTTTTTTTCGATGAGGAATCACCCCCTTAAATGTTTTACACTTATTTAGTTACACCCTGTATATTAAAATTAAATAATGTTATAATTCAAAGAAGTATATTTCCAATGAGATGAAAAAGCTAGGTTAGGCGCATTTTAATCTTATTTCCCCAATATTAAGATTCGAGTTCTTAGGTCAAAATGAACGTTTGTACAAAAGGGATGGCCATTCTTCTATAGTTACCTTAACAGTAATGCACCCAAAAGTCTTGAAGAGGTCATGGCACTTTTACACAATCCACAGGTATTCCACTGGTAACAGGTATAGTTCAAAGAAATAGTTGTAAATAACTTAAATCTCAAATAAGCATGCTCTTACTCTATCTACTCCTAAACTAGAAGTAAACTAGGCAAGTTAGCTAAATGAAAAGCTGCCATCAGTTTTAACCTCAAAATAATTGTTTCTCCTTCCTATTCCATATAAAGTGCATCTAACTTCAGTTTATTAAATAACTATTTATGAATAAGTTATTTCGTCAAGTCTGTCAGTATATGCTGACGGTTAATGAAATCAAAGCCTAGCCTTTCAGCTAAAACAAGCATGAGTACCTATCGATCTCTACTAGAATTTATTAAACATGTCTATTGCAGGCTTATCGTAAAACACACGTTTTTACCTGCATGTAAAATGAATTATCAGTCGTATCTGGAGTAGATTAGAGATGGTTTTATTAAATTTTCACCGATTTGTCGAAATTTTCAAGATTAATAGCGTGATAATTATCGCTAGCCGCATGTTTAACAGCTTCTGTTTACACGAGAACGCGCGGAAAAGTTTTGACTCCAATTATTCGCGATTGGCGATTACGCCACCTACCACATGATCGACGAACTGGATTTTCAGTTTGTTTAATTTGTAATTTGATTTGTCTATTTACTTACTGTTATTCTGAATTTATTATGACTTGAGTACATTATTATGACTGCTGATTTCTTTTTTTAATCGTAATCATGATGAACAGTAACAAAAGGGTAAACATTTTTACTGTTCAATGCCAAGTATTACTCACTTGAAAAGAAAACCGAGGACTAAGACACATATCTGAAATAGTCCAAGTTTTTAATAGATGCTATTTCTAATTGTGGGGAAGCATCAACTACTTCACATTTTAGTAATCCCAGTACTCGTGTCACTGTACAATTACATGTACATTTCTGCCCCTGATGTGAAGCTTCGCATCGATCAATTTGTTCGATAAGTATCTAGCGCCACCCTAATACCTGCCCTGTCGGTCTGGCGTGCCAGTGAACAATTCAGTTGGCCGTGCATTTCATTGTCGTTTGTGCGAGTATGAGTGACGCTTTGCTTAGTCGAGTACATAGCACGTGTTTTTATTGGCGTATATTTCAAACCACCTTGTACCTGAAACTGATTACCTCTGAGAAAACATAAATATGTTTCTTAGACTATTCTTTCTCAACATAAACAGAAGCCTTGGATAAAACTGTTGACGTTACACTTGCTCTGACAGATATTAAAAAATATCCCCCATTCTCCTTCAACATCCAAGATGCAGTACGTGTGATAATGGCTTTGATGTCGTACACGTGTAAACAATTACTAAAATAACTGCCACCTCTGTTTTCTGATTTTAAGATACTTTCTGACAGTCTATTTTCGAATCGATCCGATAAACAGCGTCGTTATTGCAACAGGTCGCGGAGAAATCATTTGGACAATCAAACTGACGCGTGTGACAATTTGCTGGGAACGGAGAAAATCCAATCAAAATCTAATTATCGCGATTCGTTTTAAATTATTATGAGTTACTTAATTAATAACGATATAATGGAAACAAATGCAATGCCTCAAATTAACAATTTTGTAACTTATTGTCAATACGTTGGTGACCTTAATATTTTTTTTTTGTTGTTGTTTTACGAGAATTGTAACTCAATATTAATTAACCGTGTTGCGGGAAGCAACTACTCTGCGGACAATGCTCCTACATTCATTAAATTGCACTTTCAATATATAATAAATAGATAACAATCATCATTCGTCAGCAGAACCACAAGACATATACCGGTTTTAAACTTATTAGTTCGTATCAGCACGCCAGTAATCAAAATAATCTGACTATTTGATGAGCATCTACAGTCATAGCGTGAGTATGAATGAAATATAAATGCAAAGCTTGTTACGAATGGTTAAATGGGTGCTCTTAATGCTGCCAAACTGACAGAGAGCGATCTGCTATTTCGCAGGTATTATGAAAGCAAGCACAACAATTACTCTGCGGACTAATGCCCCTACCAGTACTGTTCTTGTAACTTTGTACGTTATAAGTACTTTACCCTTAATAAACTACCTAACCAATAAGAAACGTACATAACATACTTAATAAGACTTTAATATTTTTAAATAATTGATAAATAATTTTGAGATAAAAATTATTTTAGATAGCAGCTATGAAGTATTTTTTTAGAATTGGCAGGCACATTTGGTATCAAAGAGCATATTAGACATAGGTACGACTTCACTTGGATATTAGGAATATTTTTAGTATTAATTTGAGTGAAGATTCTAAATACATATACATTACAAGTACGGAGAGTGTGTAGCTGAGGCTGTGTACAAATTCCGTGGAATTCAGCCGAAAATATTGCTAGGGTGAGCGATAGTGAATAAATGAAAGAGACAAAGTAAAACCCTGACTCTGATTGGTGTTTTACTTTCTGTTTATTATAAAACACACCACAGGCATAGTTTTTTCATTTTTGAAAGTTTAACCTCGCAGTAGACTTAAAAATAAAAATAATTCTAAGGTTACTGACTGAAGACAAATTGAGAGCAAACGCA